AACCCGTGTCCCCTGCATCGGCAGGCGGACACGGGTTCGTGCCCCGGTCCGGGAGGATCCCACATGCCGCGGAGCGGCTGGGCCCGTGAGCCATGGCCGCTGAGCCTGCGCGTCCGGAGCCTGTGCTCCGCAACGGGAGAGGCCACAACAGTGAGAGGCCCGCGTACCGCAAAAAAAAAAAAACAAAAAAACAAAAAAAAAACACACCCAATCAAAGTAACAAAGAAACACAAGAATGGGGAGAGAAATGACTTCAATCTGGCTCTGTCATTCTTCAGAAAATAAAACAGAGAAGAAGATGAGGTCAGAGCTATGACTGCGAGAGTTTAGCACATGGTATTGGTGAGGGGAAGTTGCAGGCAGTGTAAGTTCACACCAGTGAGTTTTGAGTTTTTTTCTCTCAGCTGCTTTAAAAATTCTGACTTGACACTGGAAGGGCATTATATCTAGAAAACGGTTTTCACTATCATTAAAAAGGATATGTTTTCTTTAACTTACGGCTCCACTCTGACAACAACAAAACAGAAATTCAGAGTATCTCTGCAACGAGCCTTTGAATGTAATGTAACAAATGTAACTCCTCAAACACACCAAGTGATGCAGAAATGTGCTTTTTATGTGATTTCGAGCACCAGGAGCGTTCAGGTAAGGATCGTCCATCTTTTAGCCAGTCGAAATTTCTGTTTCTGAACAAAGGGGTAAAAACTGTATCCCTTCTTCTTTCAGCCAGTATTTCTGGACATTTCCCCATCTTTTGTTCCATTGTCATGTTGTCTAAATACAGCCTTCCCCGGCTCGTGGTGGGTAGGTCTATTCATCAATTTAACAAATATTTAGTGAACGCCCACTACACCGCTCTGTGCTGGCACCACTTCGGGTGCTGAGGACATAGCAGCGAATTAACAAAACAACACTCCCTGCACCTGAACCTGATGTTGCAGCGATTATGTGACGTTTTCAAAATCAGCCAGAAAGTCAGGGGATGAAGCAAGGGCGTGAGCTTAGGACTCTGAGCACAGAGCACCCCGTTGAGCATCACTCTTCCTAAAAAGCACAGAACTTGTTCCCCAGTTATAGTCCTTTAAAAATTTATTTTAAAAATTTATTAATTTTTAATTTTACTGAGTTATAATTAACATACAATATGACGCAATTCAGTATTTTTATGTCTTATGAAATGGTCACTGCTTTGAGACCAGTTGAGACCATACTGAGTTATATAGTGCTGACCAAGCTTTTTAGGAAGCTTAATACTGTCAGACGGAGGAAAAGTCATTGCTCAGTATTGCAGACCCAGAACTAAGTATATACATTTGTTCTAATTATATAGGCAATAAAAATGCACGTTGTGTTAAAATGGAAAATGTAGAGAAAACAAAAAATAATTTCACCTAGGATAAACATGCTAATATTTTGGTGTATTTTGTTTCAGTTTGTGCTCCAGGGAAGTGTATTTACCTCCATACACGTGTAACTGTTTCTTTCTGTCAGTCAGTAGTAAGAAGGCTTTCTTCTCATAAGAGGTAAGAATATAAGTACAACTTATATGTATGTAGACATATAGATACATATACTACGCATAGGTATATATAATAAATACATGTATGCAACCTATATGTATGTTATATGCACATAAACATGTGTTAATGTAGGTGTATATATTATATAATACACAATATGTTAACTATGTGTAAATATTTGTGTATTAATATACACTATATTAAGTGTATACAGTATATAGAAACCATGTTACATGCACACATTAACTCAATCATACATGTGCACAGAGTACATATATGCACATACACACATACACGCATGTCCTATATATGCGTCTGTTTACACACTCCCACACAGTTACTTACTTGTTCATTATACACACTCTAGTCAAGCCCTGGTGGCAGAAACACAGGGAGCCCAGGCCTCTGCAGGATTCCCGTGGGAGGGAAACACATCCTCACCCAGTGGAGGGGCCTTTTTCAGGCCGAAGGAACTTGGCCTGAGAGGACCCTCAAGGGCCCTCTGCTGGCCTGAGGGCCTCCACCCACTCACCACTGGGACGAAGCGGCCCTGCCCAGGGGAAGGCCTGGCCGGACACTCAGCCCCCAGCCTCGAACGGAGGTTCTGGGCCCGGGAACAGAGTTTCTCAGCAGCTGGTGGAGGACAGGGGGCCACACTCGGACAAGCCCATCCTCCACTTCAGAGGCAGAACCAGGCCCTGACCTAGGCTCCCCGGCGACACAGAGGAATGAAGGTGGTTGGTGGGACCCCGGGCCTCTAGCCCCCGCCACCCACGGTGGCCCATTGAACGGGGATGAGGGAAGAGCAAAGGCCGCCTGGGAGGGCTGCTGGGCCCCCAGGGCAGGCTTTGCCAGGACAGCCTCCCACCAACTGCAACGGGGTGGGTGAAGCCCTTCTCCCCCCAGCACCATGTGCCTGGCCAACGGGGTCACGGGCTTTCCTCCTTAGCTCCAGGGGACCCCGAGGAACAGCTGAGGGAGAGCCTCCTTGAAATGCCCACATTTCAACCCATGACCGAGTGTCACCATCTTGGTCATCTTTGGACCCCCTACAATAGAGTCTTATCCGCTGTAAAAATTAACATAGGGCTTCCCTGGTGGCGCAGCGGTTGAGAGTCCACCTGCCAATGCAGGGGACACGGGTTCGTGTCCC